CCCCTCCAGATCCAGCTCCATCCCCCCGCACAGTGCCCTCAAATCCACCTCCACTACACAGCCCCCCAAATCCACCTCCCAGCTCCACGTCCACTGCACAAGTATTCTTGCGTAAGAAGACTATTTCCTGAGCAGGAGCGTGAAAGTATTTGCGCAAGAAGCACTGATTTTGTACATTACAAAGCACCCCCACCACACAGCCCCCCAAATCCACCTCCCAGCTCCACGTCCACTGCACAAGTATTCTTGCGTAAGAAGACTATTTCCTGAGCAGGAGCGTGAAAGTATTTGCGCAAGAAGCACTGATTTTGTACATTACAAAGTCCGTGCTCTTGCGCAAATTCAAGCGGCCAGTGTAGACAGCTGACAAGTTTTTGCGCACGCTTTTGTGCAAAATCTTGCCAGTCTAGACCCACCCACTGTGTGTGATAAAATACTTCTACCTGAAAAAGTCTGATAGGTTTGAAAAGTATGAACAAAGACTAATTGGCCTGGTGGTGGGAGAGCATGCCAAGCCTCTTCCCGCCCTGCCAGGGGCATGGGTGCTTAGTGCAGGGGGAGGGGCGCGCAAAGGGCCTCCCCCACCCCCAAACCAATCATGATTTGTGGGTGAGGAAGCCCAGAAGCATTCTGGCTCCGCCCCTTCCAAGGCGGCCCAGGGCCACTTCAAAAATTTTTGAAGTGGCCTCTGGCCAAAAATGATTGCCCACCCCAATCCAGGGCTCTACCAGGCAGATATCTGCTGCCCACGAGATCACTTTTGGCTGGAGTTTGGTTACCAACGTGCCCCTCTACTCATATGGAAGCTTTTCCATATCCCTAATCACTTCTGCTGCCCTGCCTATACTCCTGCAATAAGGTCTGGAGAAGGGCAACTTAACTGGTCGTGGCCTGTCCTGATTGAGGTGCTCAATTTTTGCCAGGGCTGGGCCCAGCACCTCTAGGCTTGGCAGTTCATAGCCCCAGTTCTTCAGGCCCTGCCATACTGATTATGAAAGTAAAATACTTGCTTGAACTCTGCCACCTCTTTCATTACAAATTAAGCCCGGGTCACCCTCAACTGACCTCTACTTGCTAAGCAAGGCAGTTGGATGGCAGATCCCAGGGGGGTTGGGAGAAGGGTTTTGCGTGGTACACAGCCACGGGCACTATTTGACTTGCCCCCTCCTCATATGGAAGCTTTTCTATAGTCCTAATCACTTTACTTGCCCTTCTCTGTACCTTGGAACAGGGAAAAACAGCTGGGGGGGATGGTTAGACGGACAGGTTGATTACAGGGGGATCACCTGAAGACTGCACTGAGATTGGCTGAAATCGTGATCAGGCCCGCCCCTCAGAGGGCAGCAAAGGAGGCGGGTCCTTCCTATTCTATTGACCAGACTGGATCCTGTCCGAGGAGGTCCCTTCTCAGCCAGTGTGGCACAGAGTGACTGCTGCAGCGGGAGAGGGGGATTATCGGCACTTTCCTGGGACCAAATGATCGGCTGTGGTAACACCCAGACTAGTCACTTTTGACCTCCCAGGACGTTTCCCTGCTGTCAGTCTTGCCCCTAGTACTGCCTGTAAGACTGGCCAGCTCTTCCCCGCACAATATGCTGTGGTCAGTTGCTTTTAACTCTGTCAAACATTAACCACTTGGACTGTCATTTCCATGCTGGAAGTCTGCCTCGGGCTGGAATGGTTTGGAAAATTCCAGTGCAAATGGTTTGGCTGTTCCTGAGTGAAGTCTGGGCAGCTGCAGAAGAGAGACACATGGTCAGCTCAGTAGCTAAGAAACAATAAAGATATGCCACGGTGTCCAGAAGAGCAATGCTTTCCTGCAGAGTAAGGAGGACTGGACCTGTGGCTTCAGGAGGCAGCTTTAGGGTGGTGTTTCTATGCCTGACAAAAATGTGTCCAAGACAGGGTCTACAGCCCTGGATCCTCAGGGATAGTGGATGGTTACTGCAAAGAGAATGACTGCTTGTGGGCAAACATTTCCAGCTGTCTGAAGGTTTGTGTCCCAGTACTCGCCAACCCGCAGCTCTCAAGCCGCATGCGGCTCTTTGCTTCAAGAAACGCGTCTCTTGCTACTTCTGAGCCGTGCGCCCGGACTGTTCATGGCCGGCCGCTCTGCTACATACCCCAGCGCCTGCTCTCATGCCCCAGCGCCAGCTCATGGCCGGCTGCTCTGCGCACACGCCCCAGTGCCTGCTCATGGCCGGCTCTCTGCGCATGCATCCCAGAACCTGGAGGGAGAAGCGCGTGGCAGCAGCATCAGCGGTGCCCAGGACCCAGGCCATTGGGTTAGAGCAGGGGGATGGGGGTGCCTGGCTCTTGGGAAGGGGAGGGGGATCGAGTTCGAACATGGGCCTGGGAATGCCTGGCTCTGCGGAAGGGGGAGGCCACTGGGTTAGAATGGAGAGGCTGGGGTTCCTGGCTCTGGGGGAGAGGAAGGGGATTGTGTTAGAGCAGGGACTGGGAATGCCAGGCTCTGGGGAAGAGAAGGCGGATTGGATAAGAACGGGGGG